AATTTGTCTTCCCAAAATATTAAAAAAAAAATCTTAAAAAATACCAAACTGCCGTTAAACGGCCCGGGCGAATTTATGGCAAAATCCGGTAACATGTGATACACTCATGTACTATTTTGTTTATACAAAATTTGTTGTGTTTCGAAAGTGTTTTTTGTTTTTGTTTTTGCTGTACAGCTTCCTCCTCTTGAAACGAAGCAGTGCACACATCTTATCAGCTGTGTGTAAACTACAAACAGATATCTTATCAGTTGTTTGTAAATAGCTTAGCCCCAGTTCAGTTATGTTTGTTAACCATGAATATTAATGAGAAGCACTCATGGGGTGTACACTGGATAAACAAAAAACTTGGGTATTTGTTTGCACACAAGAAAAAAACCAGTTTACTTGTACAAGATATTATTTTTTCACTGAAATAAATACACTAATGTATGTGGCATGCCTTATGGAGCTATGCTTGTGATTTTCAAAAAAAAATGTGAAAAGTGCCCAAAAAACTATTCCGCTACCTTAAGACCAAACTTGTTATAGACTTACTTTATTTGTCAATATAAGATATGTGCTATGCAATACTGACTTTCAACTTAATTAATGAGCTAATTTGAATATTCAATTAATTTTGAATTTTTGTTAATATCTTGTGAATTAATAGTCCAAATAAGACTAAACTTGTTATAGACTTACTTTATCTGTCAATATAAGATATGTGCTTCAACTTAAGTATCGAGTTTCAACTTAATTATAATGGACTCATTTGCATTTTTATTTAATTTTTGTTAATATCTTGTGAAGTATTAGTCCAAATAAGACCATACTTGGTATAGACTTGATATGTAATTTTGATTTTCAACTTAATCTTCCTACCCGATTTTATACATATACATTCAAACTTTATAATTCATAGCCAACTATAATAACATCTAACAAGTGGGGGCCGTGTCAGGTGACTTCTTTTAGCTGGAATCAATTTTCGCTGAATAGAATTTTTGGCTGTTTTGTATGGATTTTATTTCCACTGATTTTTTTATGAGTTGAATGTGAAATATAGGTAAAACAGTATATTCGCTGGATTTTATTTTCATCGAATTCAATCCTTCAGTGGAAATAGCGAAATGTAATTTCAAACAAAAATAAAGTATTCTACAGTATTTATATGTACTGTGTACATGGCTATCAGTCCTTTCGGGACAACATCAAAAGTTCAATGTAGGATAAAAAACTTAATTTCTTCAGTCCCCCCCCCCATTGAAACTTTATTGACAAATATTGATCATGGCGTCAGACTACATTCACCATTAAATACAAATTGATAATTGGACAGTAGTATGGCATAGCAGTTGGTTGTAATAATGAAGGGGAATATACCCATGTGCAAACTACTTTTCTGGGTTCTGCGCATGCTCTAGGTCCATACCCTGAAATTGACCTCATTTGACGCACATATTTACACTCGGACGAAACCATTTTCTCATTTTGGATGGGTTTTTTTTCATTTTCTGTTATTTTATGATTGGATAGAAAAACACCTACTACAAATACTCCACGTTTGTTTTGACTTCATTAAAAAATAAAATTGTTTTTGAAGGATGAAAACTTTCTGAGGTCACCCCCCCCCAAATTTAAACTGGATGTAATGCAACAAACACTGTCCTTTGAATATATCAGTGCTAATTTGTACCATTACATTCACTTTGACAAACAGAGAATTCATTTGGACCAATCACCTGAGAGTTATTGATAAATAAATGATTGTGAACACATTTTACGAGAAATACTTTTCAATGTTTATTATTATCCAATAGATTCATAAACAGTTCATAAATACACACAGATGAAAGCATATGTATACAATACATAATTTGTAGTAAATAGATGCACTTTTATTACATGGTAGTCAGTGATTGTAATGTCACGACGTGAAGGTCATTGAACCCTGGATATACAATTGAAGAAAAACAAATTAAGCTATTGTTAATTATTAAGAACGTTCTACTCCCATCATGCACCTTACTTATAAACCAATTCCCTGTTGAGAAAGACAAATACTAGTACATGTAGTTTGAAATCTGAATATTTTGTTTTCAACTTTACTTTCACTATTGTATTTTCATGATGCACTCATCAATGACATTTCTGTTAAATGTGAGCTAGGGAGTCATTACCTATGCACACGTCAGGTGGCTATAGCATGTCATTGTTTACTAACAAGCGTATACCTATGAGTCTTTCTTAGCATGTGTTGTTATCATCGCTTGAATACAATGTCTTGAGAAAAAACAAAATATCGAAAAATATTGCTAACAACACATGATAAATTAACAGTTCATTATTTTATATGTAACACAACATTTACCTTACACCTAGTGAAAAAATGGGTTTCAATGTAAATAAAATAAGTTACTAAAATCTGAAATACAATGCTATGGGAAGTACACATCAAATAAACTGAATATCATGACACACATTTAAAAACCACAATTGTGTACAGTTTAATATGTAATGAAAGAAAAGTTTCCAACAAATGGCAGTGTTATAAATTCATAATTGACACATTATACAATAAACAATTAATAATAAGAGTTTTGTTGTATAGTAATTTAGAATATATAAAATGTTTTCAAACAATTTCTTTCTTTCTTTATTTATTTATTTATTTATGTGAATACACATCCAAATAATGCTGATGTTTCATTCATTTATCTATGCGATTTCATTATGGACGATGAAGATGAAATGTATCCAAACTTATCACACTGGGTACCAAGATAAACTGATCACAAAAAACTTTTCCCTGATCTCTCTTAAAACTTTTCTTGGAACATTGCATTATCTTTTGGAAGATTCTCAGCAATGTTTGTTACGACTTTGAAAATTTGCATATTGAAATTCCCACTATATTTCATGGATTAGTTTGAATTTGAAAATAAATTGCATTCTTGTAATCATATAATAATTCAAACAACAAAAAAATTCACCATTTTAATATTTTTTACACAATTTTTTCATTCAAAATCTGATTAGAAACAATTTTTACAGTGAAACATCGCTGACAAAATCAACCATTCACAGAGCACCATCTGTAACATGATTAAAAATATCAATAAATAGGGTTAATCCACAGATGTTATTTAAATATAGATGACAATATGTAATGTTATTCACCTATATTTACACCTATAAATTGAATTTACATAGCGTATACCAGGCGCGATACATGGGTTAAAGAGGATATGATTTTTACCATCCAGCACCCCTGGTGAAAATGTTTATGTTGTGTCGGTTGATGGCACTAAAAGTGCAAAAGTCAAAACAAACACTACTATAAAGAGTGTATTACTAGCATCATACCTAGGCATATAGTGAAGAGAATGCTGCTTAGATGTCTATGACCTTTTTTAGTGTATAATGTTTGCATAAATCTGAAAAGGTAATAAGATATTACCAGCACTGTACCTAGGCATATAGGTAGTGGAATGTCACATAGATGTATATGACATCCCATAGTGTGTAATGTTTGCATAAATCTGAATGAGTAATGAGATATTACTAACATAAAGCTAGTTATATTATGCATAAAACTGATTATATTATAAGATAAAAACAACAATGACAGAAAGCTGAATAAATGAGCTCAATATTTTTTCCCATATAAACAATAAGTAATGACATAGCAATACAAAATATAAGATTGACAGACAAAACCATTACCATCATGTTTCAAATTTAGGAAGACTCACTCTGTATCTCGATAGCTATCTAAAAAAAACCTTGGTCTATAAAAATAGAATATTGGAAAATAATCAAGATACAGAAGAAAATATTTATATTGAAATTGAATTTATTGCACATGTGATTATAAAGCAAGGTGGTAAATGACTGGTGTCAATTTAAACATATTTATGCAATGTAACTTTACTTATTGAAAGGGTAAAGGTCACTTCACTAAACTGTAGATTCCTTAACGTTTAGAAAGCCATATAACATAATATCCTAATGGCTGCAGGTCTTTATCAAAATTGAGAGGGAGGGGGGGGGGGGTGGAGAGAAAAAAAACAGTACTGGCCTTAAAATATTCCAACACATGGAGACATTGGTGTTGTGACAATCAATGTGTCAAGTGACAAATTAGCATCTTAAGAAATTTCGGTGGCTACAAAATAATGACTGAAATTACAATTTTCCTGTGTGATAAACTGATTCAATAAAATACCATATACATTGATAAAATATTATAAGCCCATCTCACCTTTTTATCTTTGTTTAAAAAAAGTGTTTGCAATGCATTGTATTTCAAACTGTTTTATCTAATTTGATACCAGAATAAGCAAGTCTTAAAATTTTGTGAGTTGAATTACGGTGAAAACCAGCTGGTTCTACAATAGCAAACTGTAGGTCGCATGTATTTAGAGAGAACGGCCATCTTGGGTCAACTTTTCTAATATTGCCAATATTTTTAGAATATGTGTGGTTGAATTAGCGTAATTTTTGAGATTTGACACTGTGATAATGCTGTTAACAATTTAATTTAAAAAACTAAACAAATCACTACTTTTGGTTTTGTAAAATTTAGGATGCTAGACTTATTGGGTCTACCGTATTTGGTCTATTAGTAGCACATGCTATGGTCAAAATAAGTAATATTTGAATGACTCAGTATACAACAAATGTGGCTTTTGGTTATCTCTGCTTCTATTGGAGATGTGCTTCTAATAGAACAAGTACAGTATGTGTAAAATAGCACTGCTTTTCAAGTTATTACATTGTCGACTATGAAAACATTAATTGTAGTATGAAACATTTAACTTACAGCAGCCATTTTGGCCATAGAATATGCATTTGAAATTTCAATAAAAAAGTTGGATGAGTTTCCTTTCAGCACAATTTCACATACAATTTATATAAAGAAAAATAAAATCACCTGAATCATGACAAAAAGCTACACACCTGCATCAAATAAAACATTCAGTATTAAATTCTAATTACAATGTTCAAGCGCGGTGGTTGTTGAGCAGTGCGTGTTCGAATTTCATGTAAATGTATTTTACACGCGTTGTATACGTCGCTATGAGTCCCATATCGAACAGGACGCAGCGCGACGACTGCCGCCCTTTCAGTAAAAAGACAAGTTCATATATCATTTTACAATACACTAAGTAATTTCTCAAAATAATTCGTAGTTGGTAAATTGTCCTAGCCATTTGTGAAAATGATGAAATCAAACTGTAATTCGTCAACTGCGACTAGGGAAGGGTTAGTGGAAATGCAGAGCACCCCACACCAAACAGTCTAATGCAAAATACAGAGTTTTGTTACTATTAATTCCATCCAAACGACTTGAAGATGCGTATTCATGACTTACCAGAGTCATAGTTTCAAAAGACAATTGATAAATGTCACTCAAGAAGAAACAGAAGCAATTTCAATTGCAAAGTGGTTGATAAACCAAGCCATCAGAAACTGCGGTCAAACCAGAGAACACCAGGACCATAATCCTCCACTTTCTTTGGGTTCATGACTCAACCCACCCGACGATCGTCTTCTAGATCTTGGTCTGTTGATTTCATCTTCTTCACTGAAATCAGCATCACTTTCAGACTCAGAGTCAGTAGGTTTTATCGTGTACGACCAGTTGAAGTCAATGCCATAACTGCCCTTGGGTCTAACACAATGAAAAAAACACAGATAAGTAATTATAAGTAAACCCTTTGGTAATTCGACAGAAAGAAAGATGTGTAAAAGTTTTCATTTGCAGGGCAACATGACTTTATTTAGATCAACACATAACCAGCCCAATAACAAATCAGGAACACTATGACAAGTAAGAGAAATGAGCCAATCATCCAGAGGTAATCTGCAGTCATCCCCTGCAATGATGATACATTGGTTCATGCACTGAGAATGGGAATTGGATACTGAGTGAACAATCAGGGAGGACAAAACCCACCAACTCATTAACACTAACACTGTACCACACCTAGGTTTAATGATAATGAGCGATTCCTTATTTGGCATTGTATGAAATGCTAATACAATGAAGTACAACTTACATCTTTGAATTTTGGTGTATCTGATCCCATAGTTTCAGTTCATTCCCACCAGTTATTATTCTGTAAGTTCCAATCTTGGTTTTTGTTGAAGAAATAGCGTAAATATGACTGGTAGATTTGTCATTTAAAGTTCCCAAGTAATGCTCTCCTGGTATGGTCCATACTACAATGAAACACAGTGAAACAATTTAGACCTTGCCATGCACCCACCTTCTGGTAAGGTTCACACTACAATGAACATAGTGAAACTATTCAGGCCTTGCCATGCACCCACCTTCTGGTATGGTCCACACTAAAATGAACATAGTGAAACTATTTCGACCTTGCACCTAGCTTCTGGTACAATACACACTACAATGAACATAGTGAAACTATTTACGCCTTGCCATGCATCTAGCTTCTGGTAAAGTCCAC